TTGAGGTTATTGCTGCCAAAAGAGGGTCAACCAGTTATTAAGTCCAAAGGTTCACATACTTTTTCCTCCCTGCACTGTGAATGTTTACATGTTATGTGCAATTAAACCATGGCAACATCTAATGTTTGTGTAGTATTATGTTCAGCAGACTGTGTTCTTCTATTGTTGTGACTTAGATGATGTTCAGAGCACATTTTATGCCCAATTCATGCAAAACTCCACGTAATCCCAAGGGGTTCACATACTTTTTCTTGCAACTGTGTATATATATATATGTATGTATATATATATATATATATATATATATATATATATATATATAATCCACAAGCACTGTTGGTTAATGTAGCTCCCCAGCAGTAGGTTTCCATTACATATAGTAGTACAAAATGGTACTCCATTAGGCCTGTTGAAGGAGCAGTGAGCTCCGAGCATGTAGCATGCTGTCACTCCAGTCCCTCCCTTCAGTGAAGTCACATCTGTCCATGTGTGCACTCCACACTAGCTAGCCCTGGAGACTTCCTGATGTCTACACGGCATACCGGCTCCAACTCTTCGGCAGCAAATAGGAGTCCACTGGCATGTCCAACTGTATGGGGATGAGTGACGGTGTTTGTCTTATACGATGAGCGCTATTCTCTTCTATAACCTGTGAGTGTTTATTAACATTTGTGAATAAAAATTTGTTTTTTACAGGGGTGTGGAAAGTTTTGAAAAAACTACTTGTCCAAGGACTAGATTGGCGTCCCAATCTACTTGTCCTCATGACAATCTACTTTTCCTGATAACAGAACAAAAAAAATTAACCAAAACCGTATTTAAATCTGCGTTAAGTAATGTCTGGGCCTTTTAAAAACAAAAGGGGCTTTCTGGCGACTTAAACATTTAATATTTTTAACATTGCACTGCAAATCTCCTCCTCCCCTACATGCCTGTCTCCAGCAACGCACCCAGGGAATAGCAGGAAGGAAATGAGCACCCATTGGGTGCTTGTCAGGAAAGGCGAGTGTCGAGCTTATAATTTATCCCTTTCACTACCATAGCGGTTTTTGAACGTTTAAAAAAAACAATTTTGGGCCTGAAGATTACACAAAACCCCCAAACATTATATATTTTCTGAAATCAGATACCCTATAGAATAAAATAGTGGTAGTTCCAATTTTTTATGTCACACGATATTATCATAAAGGACTAGGAAAAGCAAAATTTCTGTACAAAATACACTTAAAGCGGAGCTCCACCCAAAAGGGGAAGGTCCGCTTTAAGCCTTTGTCCCCCGCTCCCCAATAGGGATTGGCACCTTTGGGGAGGGAGCAGTGGGGAGGGGATACCCAAATTTGACAGGTACCCACTCCCACTTCGATCGCCTAGGAGATCGGAAGCAGAATTTTATCCTCCCCCCCCCCCCCTCCCTGTAGTCTTCTGGGGCACATGACAGGTCCCAGAAGACTACCGGGCCATTCACAAGGCGTAGAACGTCTCGCGCATGTGCAATAGGCACCCAGCTTTTTTTTTTTTTTCTTAGCAAAGACATGTAGCAGAATACATGTTGGCCTAAATTATGACGAAATTTTATTTTTTTGGACACGTTTAAATAGCAAAAAGTAATATAGGCTTTTTTTTCAAAACTGTCGGTCTTTTTTTGTTTGTAGCGTAAAAAATTAAAACCGCACAGACGATCAAATACCACCGAAAAAGAGCTCTATTTTGTGGGGAAAAAAAGGACACAAATTTCATTTGAGGGGCAATATTGCATGACCACACATTTGTCAGTTAAATTAATGCAGTGCCATATCGCAAAAATGGCCTGGTCAGGAAGGGGGGGGGGGGTAAGTCCTCTGGAGGGGAAGTGGTTAACCACTTGGCAACCGTGCTATAGCCAAATGATGTCTACAGCCCAGTTGTCCAGTTCTGGGAGGGTGTCATATGACGTTCTCCCATGCGTCCCCAGCGGGGCACACCCAGTGATCTTCGTGATTGCTGTCCATGGACACAACTGATCACATGATGTGGTTAAAAGGTCAATCATAGTGGCCTGTTACCAAATGAGCAGCTGTGTCCAATGACACAGCAGTTGCCGGTTATTGGCTGCACTTTCCTCACACTGTCACAGTGTGAGGAAAGTACTGCCAATAACCGACAACTGTCAGAGAACAGATCAGCACTGATCATCAGGGCAATGGTCAGGGCACTCCCAGCAGTGCTCATCATTGCTGCATATCAGTGCAGCATCATCAATGCAGCAATGTCAGTGTCCATCAGTTCTGCCTATCCGTGCCACCTATCCATGCCCCATTAGTGCAGCCTCATCAACACAAAACAGTGAAAGGAGAAAAATTACCTGTTTGCTAAATTTTCTAATAGAAACAAAGAAAAACTTTTTTTTGTTTTTTTTTTCTTTTGGGTGGGGGATGTTTATAGTGCAAAAAATAAAACATACAATGGTGATTAAATACCACCGAAAGAAAACTCTATTTGTGTGAAACAAATGATAATTTCATAGGGGTACAATGTTGCATGACCGCGCAATTGTCAACGTGAGACAGCACTGAAAATTGTCATCAATACATGCGCTCATCTATGATACAGTAACTGGATAAAAGCCACACACCTTCATACCCAGAAAGCACATCTTTTAACATAGCAATCCTTCTCAAGTAAAAAAAAAAAACTAATACAATCAATCAACTATTCATTCTAAACCTGCAGCCGTTGTCAAGCCCCAGCACTTTATAACAAGGCATTCTTTGGTATGTGGATCTTCAAAAGTTAGAAGGCCGTAGGTCTATGCTGCTTGCTGATTTCGTAGATGAGAGCGCCCCCTAACCATAAATCAGCAAACATGACCACAGCTTAGTCTCTAGTTACTATTAAATCCCAGAATCAGGATTTCGCATCGACTGATTCACGTGTTCACTCTGATGAAAGCACACATCAAGGAACAGTTCAGCAAGCCTCACCTGTCGATCTTAAAGGCTGCGCTGTAGCCTCTTCGAATATGAGCCTGAAATCCAACTCGCCAGAACCACAATGTGCGGCACTCATCGGTGCCTATAAGCCGTGCACCACTTCCCGGCCTCGCCACCCCTCCGTCCCGCTTTTTTGCCGGTTAGTCGATCTCCTCTCTAACCTCACACCAACTTTCTCGGTGTCGAGCGATCGGGCCTCACACCCCTCCTCCCCACACTGCTCATTGGTTCTACGTCCAAATACGTCACTGTCCCGCCTCGACGCTAACAACACATTTTCCTAACTGTCCCATGTAAAACCCGTCTATTATTTCTGTATTAGTAGTGGATAGCTTGCATTGGAAACGGATCGCCGAAGAACCCTCAGCTCTAGCCATGTTGGTCTTTATTTTTTCTGATAAATGGGGGAGGGGCGATGTAGCCATGTTCTTGAAGACTCGTTCAGATTACAGAAATGTTTATGGCCGTCAATAGTGAACTTGTGTCGTGCAGACGAGGAAGTAGTTGAGGTTGTTGGCATCTAGACAAAAAAATAAATTCGATTTTATTTATAGAGACTGTGTTGCACGTGTAGAGAGAAAATAAATCATGTTTACAGCATCCTGTCTTCATTAGTCAATTTTTTGTTGTAATCATTGTTTTAACCACTTTCACCCCCTTCCTGCCCGGGCCAATTTTGTGTGGTCATGCAACACTGTACCCAAATAAATTATCATTTTTTGAGACAGAGCTTTCTTTTGGTGGTATTTATTCACCACTGTTATTTAATTTTTTTTGCTAAACAAATGGAAAATACCTAAAATTAAAAAAAAAAAAAAAAAGTTTTTCTTAGCGTCTGTTAGAACATTATGCAAAAAGTAAGTAATTTTTCTTCTTCACTGACGTATGGTGATGAGGCGGCATTAATTAGGCAGTACTGATGAGGAGGCACTGGTAAGCGGCACTGATAATCAGTGTAAATGTCCCAAGATCTCCAGTTACTGGCTCTCCTCGCGCTGTGACAGCACATGAGGAAAGGACTGATAGTATTATTTACAATGTGATCAGCTATGATTAGGCACAGTTGATTACATGGTAAAAGGCCAATGTGTTTGGCCCTTTACATTGATTTGCTGTGTCCAAGGGACACAGTGATCACAGATCGTGCCAGATGCACGCCCCAGGGGGTGCATTTCTGGGAGGATGTCTGTAGATGCCTTCCCAGAACTGGACGATCATGCGGTCATGAGGGGGGTAATGTTCTGCACATCTTTTTTATTTTTAGTCAGAAAATAAAAACTTGATAGATTACTTCAGGCTGTCCCCCTTTGCTGGTATAGCTAGCTATGTAAAACATTAACCATTTGCCCTCTGGAAGATTTTACCCCCCCCCCCCTTCATGACCAGGCAATTTTTTTGCTATATAGCACTGTGCTACTTAAACTGACAATTGTGCGGTCATGCAACACTATACACAAATTAATTTTATATCATTTTGCACAAAAATAGAGCTTTCTTTTGGTGGTACTTACCGTATTTTTCGCTCCATAAGACACACTTTTTTTCCCCCCCAAAAAAGGGGGGAAAATGTCAGTGCGTCTTACGGTCCGGTATTTCTGCCGCCACCATGTCAGAATACCGGGCCGGCCGCTCAGCTCTTCTCTCCTGCAGGGCCTTACCTGTTCCTCGCTCCAGCGCTGCACAGTCTTCCCGCGCTGGCTTCTGTGACAGCCGGGTGCCCACTGCGCATGTGCTGCCCTTTGTGAATGATCCGGTGTTTTCTGGGACACATGACAGGTCCCAGAAGGCGCCGGGCCATTCACAAAGCACAGCGCTTCTCGCGCATGCGCAGTGGGCACCCGGCTGTCACAGAAGCCGGCCCGGGAAGAAGAGGGAAGGACAACTCCGCGGAAGTGGGAGCGGGTACCTGTCAAATTCAGGTACCCGCTCCCCCTCCCTCCCCAAAGGTCAGCAGTCTCTGGTCATCCCCTGCACTGTCTGCAGTCTCTGGTCATTCCCTGCACTGTCTGCAGTCTCTGGTCATTCCCTGCACTGTCTGCAGTCTCTGGTCATTCCCTGCACTGTCTGCAGTCTCTGGTCATCCCCTGCACTGTCTGCAGTCTCTGGTCATCCCCTGCACTGTCTGCAGTCTCTGGTCATCCCCTGCACTGTCTGCAGTCTCTGGTCATCCCCTGCACTGTCTGCAGTCTCTGGTCATCCCCTGCACTGTCCGCAGTCTCTGGTCATCCCCTGCACTGTCCGCAGTCTCTGGTCATCCCCTGCACTGTCCGCAGTCTCTGGTCATCCCCTGCACTGTCCGCAGTCTCTGGTCATCCCCTGCACTGTCCGCAGTCTCTGGTCATCCCCTGCACTGTCCGCAGTCTCTGGTCATCCCCTGCACTGTCCGCAGTCTCTGGTCATCCCCTGCACTGTCCGCAGTCTCTGGTCATCCCCTGCACTGTCCGCAGTCTCTGGTCATCCCCTGCACTGTCCGCAGTCTCTGGTCATCCCCTGCACTGTCCGCAGTCTCTGGTCATCCCCTGCACTGTCCGCAGTCTCTGGTCATCCCTCTGTCATCCCCTGCACTGTCCGCAGTCTCTGGTCATCCCCTGCACTGTCCGCAGTCGCTGGTCATCCCCTGCACTGTCCGCAGTCTCTGGTCATCCCCTGCACTGTCCGCAGTCTCTGGTCATCCCCTGCACTGTCCGCAGTCTCTGGTCATCCCCTGCACTGTCCGCAGTCTCTGGTCATCCCCTGCACTGTCCGCAGTCTCTGGTCATCCCCTGCACTGTCCGCAGTCTCTGGTCATCCCCTGCACTGTCCGCAGTCTCTGGTCATCCCCTGCACTGTCCGCAGTCTCTGGTCATCCCCTGCACTGTCCGCAGTCTCTGGTCATCCCCTGCACTGTCCGCAGTCTCTGGTCATTCCCTGCACTGTCCGCAGTCTCTGGTCATCCCCTGCACTGTCCGCAGTCTCTGGTCATCCCTGCACTGTCCGCAGTCTCTGGTCATCCCCTGCACTGTCCGCAGTCTCTGGTCATCCCCTGCACTGTCCGCAGTCTCTGGTCATCCCCTGCACTGTGTCCGCAGTCTCTGGTCATCCCCTGCACTGTGTCCGCAGTCTCTGGTCATCTCCTGCACTGTGTCCGCAGTCTCTGGTCATCTCCTGCACTGTGTCCGCAGTCTCTGGTCATCTATATTGTGTCCACAGTCTCTGGTCATCCCCTGTACTGTGTCTGCAGTCCATTGGTTCAGAATATATTTTTTTTTCTTGTTTTTCGCCTCTAAAACCTAGGTGCGTCTTATGGAGCGAAAAATACGGTAACCGCCACTGGGTTTTATTTTTTTGCGCTATAAGCAAAAAAAGACAGAAAATATTGTTTTACTTTTTGCTATAAAACATTTAAAAAATAAAATTTCTTTAAAAATGTAGGCCAAAATGTATTCTGCTACGTGTTTTTAATAAAAAAAAAGTCCCAGTAAGTGTATATTAATTAGTTTGCATGAAAATTATAGCATCTACAATTACTGGAATTTTTTTTTTTAAATATATACTAGTAATGGCTGTGATCAGCTACTTATAGCACAACTGTGATAGTACAGTGGGTATTTTGACACTGGCTAAATGACACTGATATCACCGGTGACACTAATACAGTGATCCTTGTTAATAAAATGCACTATCATTGTAATAATGACACTGGGTAGGAGGGAAAAAAAACATCTTGGGCAATCAAAGGGTTAACTGTGTTTCTAGGGAGTTTTATTGTTTTGTACTGTGTTTTACTAGAGGATGTGCCGGTTTTTATTCCCGACAAAAATCGGCACATCCCCACTGTCAGGAGAGAGATCTGTGTTATTTCCATACACAGAATTATTTCATGTCACTAGCTCCGCTGATCGGTGGGTCCCAACCATGAATCACTGGCTGGGACCTGGTGATCGGCATGTAAGGGAGCCAATGACAGCGCAGCCGGGTGGCTTGTTTTTTTTTCTTTTTTTTTCCTTTAAAATAATAAACGCATTATACTTACATGCTACATACAATGTTTTTGCACAGAGGAGCCCCGATCCTCATCTTCTCAGGTTCCCTGCCAGCTCTTCTGGCCCCTCCCCCTTGCCAAGTGCCTCTAGAGCAAGCAGGGGGACGGGCCAAAATGAATGCGCACGCATGCGTGTCTATAGGACACACAGTGTGTGGCTCAGTCCCGCCCCCTCCACACTGGCTGTAATTGACAGTTCAGCAGAAAATATTTGGAGATCCAGTTGAGGAAAATTGCCTTAAAAGGGAAATTGCTACATAATATATGGTGATTAACATAATGAGAAGTTGAACTATCTGAGGTGTTTCGGGACTGTATCTGTTTAAAAAAAAGGGCAAAGGTTTTTTTGACCATGCATAACATGTAGGGTCCGACCAGCAAGGTGAGGACACACCTGTTGGTGATGGTGGCACACGTATGATTGCTACCAGTGAAGTTTTCTTGGCACATGCATTTATGATACTTTGCCGAGGGTACATGTTAGTGACTCTTTTTGCAAGGAAGGACATTTATTGGTCAGAGGTTTGATTTAAAAAAAAACACAAAATGACTTTAGATAAAAAGACTATTTGTTGCACATGCATTTATGACAATTTCTCATGCATATATATTTTGTGATGTGGGCACATAGAGTGTAGAGCTAAATCATTTATTTTCCCCCATGAACATAAAAGGTTCTAACAAGGTTTAGAAGTACAGGCTCTACACCATTCATAGTATTTTGTTGGGAACACACAGTTTATGAGGATCTGAGAGGTGTGAGCAGCTGCAAGTTAGGAGTCAATATCATAGCAGATCACAAGTCTCATTTGGAATACCAAAGGTTAAGACCCTACACACAATGCGGCCAATCATTAGGAGATTATACTCACAACGAACTGTTGTTTTGGACACTGAAGATGGAATCAACATACAGTTAGGTCCATATATTTGGACACAGGCAGAATTTTCATACTTTTGGCTCTGTATGCCACCAGAATAAATTAAAATAAAACAATCCAAATGAATTTGAAGTGCAGACTTTCAGCTTTAATTCAAGGGGCTGAACATAAATATCAAGTACAACTTTTAGGAACTGCAACCATTTTTATGCACAGTCCCTCCATTTTCAGGGGCTCAAATGTAATTGGACAAATTAATATAATCAAAGAAAATGTTCGTTTTTTTAATATTTTGTTGAGAATCCTTTATTGGCAATGACTGCCTGAAGCCTGAAACCCATGGGCATTTCCAAATACGTTTCCAGGCACTACCTGCAGCTGTCTTCAGTTTTTCTTTGTTTGTGGGTCTTTCTGCCTTTAGTTTTACCTTCAGCAAGTGAATTGCATGCTCAATCAGGTTGAGATCAGGTGATTGACCATTGCAGAATATTCCAATTTTTTTCCTTCAAAAGCTCTTGGGTTGCTTTTGCAGTGTGTTTTAGATCATTGGCCATCTGTATTGTGAAGCACCGTCCAATCAACTTTGCTGCATTTGGCTAAATCTGGGCTGACGTTGTATCTCTAAACACTGCAGAAGTCATCCGGCTCCTTCTGTCACATCATCAATAAACACCAATGACCCAGTGTCACTGGAAGCCATGCATGCCTATGCCATCATACTGCCTCCACCATGTTTTACAGATGATGTTGTGTGCTTTGGATCATGAGCTGTTCTCAGCTTTCTCCACACTTTTTTCTTCCCGTCATTCTGGAACAGATAAATCATAGTTTCATCCATCCAAAGAATGCATTTCCAGAACTGGTCAAGCTTTTTAGATGTTTTTTGGCAAAGTCAAATCTGGCTTTTCTATTCTTCAGGGTTATGAATGGTTGGCACCTTGTGTTGAACCCTCTGTATTTGCTCTTGTGAAGTCTTCTCTTAATTGTAGACTTCGACAATGATACACCCACCTCCGGGAGAATGTCCTTCACTTGACTGGATGTTGTGAATGGGTTTTTCCTTTACCATAAAGAGGATCAGGCGATCATCCACCTCTGTTGTCTTCCGTGGAGGTCCTTGCCTTTTTATGTTGCTGAGCTCACCAGTGCGTTCTTTCCTCAGAATATACCAAACTGTTGATTTGGCCACTCCTAACGTTGTTGCTATCTCTCTGATTGATTTTGAAGCCTTAAAATTCCCTGTTAAACTTGCAGAACAAGCTCCTTTGATGCCTGATGTAGGTTCACAGCAATAGATTCCAAATGCAAATACCAAATTTAGAATCAACTCCAGACCTTTTACCTACTTAATTGATGAAGAAATAACAAAGGAGTAGTCCACACCTGACCATGAAACAGCTTCTGATTTAATTGTCCAATTACATTTGGTCCTAAACCCTTCCTCCAATTTGGATGTACATACCCTCAAATCAAACCTGAGTGTGCACTTTCAGCCCATATCTATTATATAACTATAGCTTGAATATGTTTTTGGTAAATACCTGAAAAAATCTAAAATTGTGTCTGTGGCCAAATATATATGGACCTAACTGTACATCTTTGTAGCACAGCTTTGAAACCTTCATTCTTAACCCCTTCACGCCGACGTAACACAAATATGCAGCCTCACGGACCTGGGCTTTTTTCCGTGGGGCCGCATATTTGCGTACCTGTCTTTGTGTTGGGAGCGCGCCCTCAGCGCGCTCCCAGCACCGAGACCGCGGTGTCACTGAGAGCACCAGGTCCCGTTCTAACGATCGGGACCCGGGACTCCCGGTCCCGGGTCACATGATCGCTGTGATAGCCTCTGATTGGCTATCACAGTGATCAGTCACTGTGCAGCCCGGCCCCCTTTTTTTTTTTTTCTCTCTCTCTCTCTATGAATGGAGAAGAGAGATACATTGTATCTCTCGAACTCCTGTCAGAGAGAAGAAAAAAAAAAGTTTGTAAAAAAAAAAAAAAAGATAAATAAATATTAAAAAAATAAAAGAAAAAATAAAAAAAAATACCTAGATCAAGGTTTGATCTAGTTCAGTGCCAGGGTTAGTGTTTAGGTCAGGGTCAAGGTCAAAGGTCAAGATTTAAAAAAAAATTGGTATCAGTGTCAGTTAGTGTTAATGTCAGTGTCAGTTAGTGTTAGTGTGTTTTAGGTAAAAAAAAAAGACAAAAACAAAATGCGCACTGTGGTTTCTGGGCTGTACTACGGGTACAAACAACAAATAACATACACATATATGGTATCGCTCGCGATCGTCAAGAGCTGGAGAATTTATTTTGGTTGCTCTTTGGTGGTAGGTTATGTTCATAACAAGAAACACATAGCTAAATAAAAAAAAAGGATTTTTTTTACTATTTTGGTCCATTTTTTTCCTTTGATAATAAAAAAAAAAATCAGGAGATATCCATTACCATTTACCACCAAATGAAAGCCCAATTTGTCCTGAAAAAAAAATCAAGGTATAATCCACCTGGATGTGCAAAGTAGTTGTGATGATATGTACGGTTTTGCTATTACATGTCAACGGTGCAGAATTGTGCTTAGGCCTTTAGATTTGTTTTACCCTTAGGCGTGAAGGGGTTAAATACGGTTGCCACCTCATCCCTTTAAACC